TGTGTACGCCGACATATACGAGAGTATACGGCGTTTGTGTGATAATATTTTCTAATATATTCATGTTTGTATTTTAATCTCGCGTGATTCGAACGCGCTACCGTTGAAATTTCCCACTTCCTGCTTTTCCAGGGCCGCACCACCTTAGTTTTCTCGATAATAAATTAAAAATAGGATATTCCCATTAAAAAATATATGTTATATCCGTAACACTTTTTTCAACTGCCCTGTATACTATACAGTAGTGATGTGTCCAGGTGCGGATCGTGAATTTGTGGGGCCCTAGGCTGAAACTACTTAGAGGCCTACATAAGTACTCAACTAATAGCCATATCAAAAAACTGTTTCTATAGTGATATATTATTATTCTTCTTCTTTACGTGCCGTCTCTTTCGTGGAGGTTGGCGATCACATTGGCAAAATCTTCACGATTCTCGGCTTTCCTTATGAGTTCTTCAAAAGTTAGGTGAGTCCAGTTTCTGATGTTTCTCAACCAAGATAGTTTCTTCCTGCCGAGACCTCTCTTTCCTTCAATCTTACCCTTAACTATCAATTGTAAGACGTGGTACGTTTTTTTTTTATTTTTATTATATTGAGCAATTCTCTTTCTCTGCCTATTCTGCTGTAGACTTCGGTATTTGTGATATGTGGATTTAAGTAACATAAATGTTACTTAAATCTACGCAAGTATTAATTGTACAAAAGGCGAACTTATTGCTGTGGTAGCAATCTCTTCCAGACAAACTTTGGGTGAGAGAGAAACCGAAATAGTGATATTTTATAAGAATATAAAAAAACGATAAAACAGTTTTATTTATTTATTTATTATGAATTAGTAAAATAAATTGATAGGTTGTAGTCACAGAAATTGACAGTTATTTGGTCATCACATTCCAAGTCTTTTGTTAGATCACAATTTATGGAAAGAATTGATAAATTATTTAGTCGATGATTCGACATTGTTGTCCTATATTTATTTTCTACATAGGACATCTTGGAGAAGGAGCGTTCTGCTTCACAGCTAGTGATTGGCAATGTTAAAAAAATCTTTAAAATGGTATAGCAGTTAGGGAACACGTTAATAAGTTTATTTTCATACATGAGCATAAAAATGTCACTGCAAGAGGTGTAAGACTCAGACATAGATTGGAGTAAGTACGATTTTAATTGAATGCACTCATTCACTAAATGCTCGTCTACGTCATCGGGATAGTAATCAATAATATGACGTGCAATTTCCAAATCTATGTTTTCGATATTTTTGTCTTGCAAATCCATTAAAAATTTGAATTTTTTGCTATATGTCTCATAGACTTGTCTCCTTTTATTTAAATCCATAATCAGCTTATCCAACGCAACTTTTAACGTGTCTCTTTAAATCTTTCTGCGCCGTATACTGAGAATTCACCTGTAGACTTATCTGAAAATTTTGGGATAATGCGTCTCTTGTTTATGTAATTGTAGTCTATTATTACACTAGTACTTAATTTTTTAGCTTTTTCGTCGTATTCCTGTAACATTTGATCTGATTGATGTCGTATGTTGCTCACAAAGTCTTTTAAAGAAACAATTAACTTGTTGCCTTCACAAATGTCTAAACCAGGGCTCTGTATTTTTTTATTAACTAAATGAAATCTCTCCAAAACTTCTTCCCAAAAGATAATCAAAATTGCAGTCTCGAGTTTCGCCATTTTATTGAATAAATTTCGTGCCTCTTTCCGGAAATCAACTTTCTCAACCTCATTTTCGCTGAAACTTTTGAAAATTTTCATAATGTCATCATAATTATTTTTTAAGGCTTTGACAGCATCATAGTGGCAAGGCCATCTTGTCTGGCTTAAACTTTTTAACCTGAATTTTAATTTTATTTCACGATTCAACAGTTCCCACCTATGGGTCTATTGTTTTTCGCGGGGCCCTGGGCTGCAGCCCAAACAGCCCGTAGGTAGATCCGGCCCTGGATGTGTCGGTATTTGAGTAACGCGATTTTGGAGCGGTATTTTTTTGTAACGTCGTGTCGCGCTTTACAACGAATCAACAGTCTCGTGGCAGGCTTGCGTCAAAAATTGGATAGAAAATGTCGCGCTCTTGTCTTGCTCTCGTCTCGCGCTCGGCTCATCAAGTGTGGACACACCATAACTTATATACACTTGTAACACCGGAGGTAAACTGTGTCCCCTCTTCTTGAGTTATAACTTATCATACATTCTTAGAGCACTCAATGATAAGGTATTCTGGAGTTTCCCCATTCATCCCACAAAATTCGTCGTTATGTCTTAGCTTCAATCAACTGAAGTGTACAGGGTGGCCGAAATTGGTCTGTTTTAACAGAGAAAACCTATTTCCCGACTAGATAGAGCAAAACCAACGTAGATGTCATGGGTTCGATTTCTGAGACACGTTTAATGGAGTAAACCGCCTGTTGATATTTTCACTGCCAACTGAGATACGGGGTCTTTTTGAATTTTTTACCATTTTGAAAATAGCTCATAACTTTTTTATTTCGCAGAATAAGAAAATTCTGTAACATCGTTCTTAAGGCACTTTTTTAAGCACAATCCAGTGGCGTAGTCAGTTTTTTTCTATGCTTGCTCTTTTTGTCAGAAATAATAAAAAACATAATTTTTTAAATGGAAATCATAGTTGGCTATGAATTTGAAAAAATGCTGGCGTTTAACCCTTTCCAACAATATAAAGTTATAGGTATCTATTTCTAAGAATGAGAGAAATATAAGGTTTTTTATCTTTATATCGACGCAGGCTTTGATTTTGTGTTGACCTATTTGTCTAATTATTTAATATTCTATATTATTATTTATCTGCATAATTAAAGACTTTTGAAAAGGTAAATTAACATTCTATTATCGGTAGTAATGGTAGTTATTAGTATTAGGAATTACAACTGAAATCGGTACAATAAACAAAGAACAAAACTAAAAAACTTAGTTTTTGAGTGACGAATATAGTTCTAAAAAAAATGAAAGATGTTCAAACTGAGCACCTCCTTGCTGAATACACAATAAACATCTTTTAAAATAATAGAAAATTAAATTGTGATAAAAAATAATTAGGCAATTGATCAACACAAAACCAAGGCCCGCTTCGTCACAAAGATAAAAAACCTAATATTTCTATCATTCTTAGTATATAAATACTCTAGAGTAATATAAATACATATAACTTTATATCGTTGGAAAGGGTTAAACGCCAGCATTTTTTTAAGTTCATAGCCAACTATGATTTCCATTTAAAAAATCATATTTTTTATTATTTCTGTCAGGAAGAGCAAGTATAGAAAAAAGCTGACTACGGCACTAGATTGTGCTTAAAAAAGTGCCTTAAGAACGTTTTTACAAAATTTTATTATTCCGCGAAATACAAAAGTTACGGGCAATTTTCCAAATGGTTTTCACTTGGGAAGCAGAAACCAACTGTTGATATTAGTAGGTACATATTTTGAAGTTCACATCTGGTACGTGTTACTCATTTTTAACCTTTTTTTAATGTAACTAAATAAAATAATTATCATCATAATCCTTGCTTCATTGCTTCATCTAAGCGTTTTAATAGAATTATAAAAAAAGATAACTTAAGTCCGTCCCTGTTAAAAATCATCCTACATTTTTTCTTTTTTTAATTTCGTCGCTAACACGGTCTCAAACAATGAGCCATTGTAATAGGAAATCTCAACAGATTGGTGTTATATATGTATAAGCAACAACGGCAGCATTAAAAACATCTACGTATATTGTTACACGGTATTTTTTAAACAATGCCACCAGAAAAACAACAAACAATTCTCCGTATAATAGATATTATTTTATAAACAACGCTCGTTAAATAATAAGTCGAACAATTAGTTAATTGGAGAAAGATATAATTGAAATTGAACGTATTGTTGATTGTAATTAATAATAACAGTTTTTTTTTGGTTTGTTCCCAATCCCAGATCAGGAATATAAGAATGGTTTTTATCATATTTTATGTCATACAAAGTTATCTTACTGCTTGCTCGTTTAGGTTTTGTGAGAAAAGTTGCAAATTGGTTGGAGAGAGCCGTTCGATATTTATTGGGACTGAATAGTAGAAGTCACTGCAAGAATTTCAAAATACTGACTCTTCCTTCTTTATTCATTTTTGAATCCGTTTGCTTAATCCGCAAGCACATATCTGCAATTCCCGAAAGGCCATTTTAAATTTAATTAAATTTTTTTGAATTGTATGATTTGTATTGTGTATTTTTTGTTGTTTGTGTTTTTTGTGCTTTTGTTTGTTTTGTGAGTGCTTTGTCGATGAAGCTGTTTTGGCTTTTTGCACAATAAAGCGTTGTTTGTTAGGTTAGGTTAGGATTAGTGAGACTTAGAATTAAAGTAGATATTTAAAATGGCACAACAAACATTAATTTAAAATACGTTGAAGAAGCAGCCGACACCCTATGCATACAACTCGGTAATAAAGCATTCTAAACAAAATTCCATGCTCTTAACAGGCCAGTTTAAAGCAGAAGAACCTGTCTGTTTAACTAAGCGTCATAAATCATCCTCTTCTCTACACAGAGAATTTTTATTATTTTTTCTGTTTGTTTTAATTCACCATAAGCAAAGAAAGGCTACCCGTCCACCTACACGATCCGCGAATCGCACTTAAAAACATAAACACGCTGAGCCTATATCTGTGTCTGTCTCTATCGCACGTCCAGGTGTAGGTCTGCGTTTGTTTCACTCGCTCGCGTTGCTCGGATGAGGAACGAGGATCATAAATCAGGATCGGAGAGGTCGAGAGACCGACTGACCGTATGTATAACTTCATTAAGCTTTGTTAAATTAATCACGAGCGGTTGTTGGTAACAAAGAGCTCGACAGCTCCTTTTCGAGGCGGGGGTGGTACCAAGTAAGTGATTACGGCTTTATATCACGTGGATTATTACCTTTACCGATTATGCACATATTTTTAATACACTTGCCCATTTCTATACCCCTCAATTGTGGATTATTACTTACGGTGGTGGTGTAGAATGGGGCTTGGTCAGCTCCCAGAGCTGGAAAATAAGCTGCCATTCCTTCGGGATAGGGTGCGCTGTACATACTTAAAGCTGGCAACCCTGGAACGCCTGCACCTGAAGCAAAAAGAACATACATTTTATTGATTCCTATAAAAATGTATACCATGTTGTATATTATTTTTGTTATTAGTTTTGTTGGTTATTATCTTATTTTATAACTTTTGTAGAAAGTCATATATTAACGGTAACATTTATATATGATGAAAGTCTATAACTAGTAACATTGTCATCTCGCCGCTCGAAAAACTACACTTTGTTTTATGTTATTATGACCTTTTTAATGATAAAATATATTTTTTTGCCTTTCCTGTAGTTGCCGTCTAAGAAATTGCGTCGTTGTTCTTACAAAAAGGAGAATATGATCCGTAAAATCATATATAAATGGTATAACATTTATATATGACTCGTTAAGTCATATATAAATGCCGTTCCATTTATATATGATCCAAATCGATTTAAAAATATTAGATTTGGATTTCCTCTCTCACCTGCTAATCTCTGGTAGCCGAGCAGCTCGTACTGACAGGAACATACAGTCTGTCCGGTAATGGGGTCGGTAAAAATGGGACGACCGGTATCACAGCATCTTTGGGCGGCCGAGGGCGGCGTGCCGGGGGTGGGGGCCGATGACGTCACAGCCATGCCTGAGGGTGGTGGGGTGGATTGGGAAGGTCCCGACGATACTGCGCTCTGCAAAAAAATAGACAATTTTTTTAAATGTTTATTAAAAATTTTAATGTTTATAATTTATGTTTCTTTTTATTTCTGTTATGTTTTGTAATAAAAGTATGCGAAAGAAAAAAAACACCCTGTGTGAATTCATAAACTCTATATGGCAGTATAAACAGCCGAAATGAGTAATAAATAATTTTATCGAGCATTTTTACTGGGTATTTACCGTCGGAGACATTTAAGGTTATGAGGTTATTAAAACTGATTTTTCTACCTCTCGTTTGCTCACCAGAGGGCGCAGATAATATGCTTGAAGTGCGTGTATAACCTTCAATTGATTTCAGATTTTGCATGAAATGTTGTTCATATATACAAATTTGTGTGAAATAGCCCTCTTCCTATAAATTCTTTAAATATGTACCTACAATAGACCCGGAAAGACCATTTCCAAAGGAATTTTCATTTCGCAACGATATACTTCTTTTAGAGACAACCCTGTATACACCGTGTCACAAAAAACTTGTACCAATTAAGCAGTACAGGACCGCAGGCATCGCAACAACAAACGACTCGACACAGAGACTTTTTTTTCAAACGTCCCTGTAATTTATGCGCATCCCTGTATAAATCGAATGATTAACATTGATTAGTACGACACAAGCGCGGCGGCCGGTAAAAAATTACAGGGATCTTTTTAATTTCGTCCGCTGTCGTAATTTACGATCTATTCTGTGACGACAGTTTATAGAGTGGAACTGGGCAAACACCATGAATTATGTATGGTTCCGAGTGTTTCTGTACCATGTCAGGAGGTAGTACTTGTCTTGGATGTTATTTGAAAGAAAAAAGAGGTTGTAATTGTGAAAAAAATGGTCTTCTACAGTGACGGTACCTTGACCTACAATCTGAAACATATCTACATATTCATAATTAAATAAGGTTGTCTGTTTTCATGTTTTTTTTTGTGTAAAACTTGAATTTCATGCATCCGTTATCCGACGACACGATGATACAATATTAATTTTACTGGTTGAATTGGTTAGAAAATAAGAATCCGTTCATCGGATATACAATTTGCTTGTGATCCGTGTCATTTTATATTTTCATTTCCATAACGATTTCGCTGTCTTCATATAGTCTGAGAGCTAACAACGTTTTCGAGAGAGAATTTTAAGAAAGCTGGTTCTTTAATCCTTTGCTATGCTCTTCTGAAGAGAGTGTGGACCGTCTGACTGCCGGTAGACGTTGCGTTCACTACTGCGCATCATATCTGTATTCAACATCAGTTCAGACTACTGCGCATCACAAATTCGCCCTGTATTTCAGGAACTGAGGAGACTAGGACAAATCTATGTGTAGCATATTTAGTTTCACAAAAAATTAGCAAAGTAGTGTGAAAATCGCATCATCGTATCTCTATTCATAAACGAGATATCCCATAAAACACACGAAAATGGGATACCCCGTACAGATGTAATGCGCAGTAGTCTACCGGCAGACATACGGCACGCACTTTGGTAAGGAGAGCATAGTAAAAGCCTTGTTTATATATTCTTAAAGTTGATCAACCGACTAGACAAAATGTGCTGCCAACTGGAGGACAAATCGTGAACCTTTCGGGGCGGAGTCAAAAATATCGATTATTTTCGTTATTTTCCTCAGAGTAATGTAATAAAATAGCACCGGGTTTCTGCGAACTTTAATAGTGATCAGTTGATTAAGAAATTTAAACGAAACTTTTATTTTATTGTAAATTGTGGATTATTTTTGCCTGTTATTTTAAGAATTCTAAACCGTATTAACAAAGAAATTATTATTTTGATATGTTGGTACATTATTTATAATTTATGATAATGCTAATTGGCTGTTAATTAATATTTAAAAAAAAGTTACATACCTATTTTAATTTGATTTAATGCAGGTTTATAAAAGAATCATTTCATTTTTTTTAAAACATAAAACTTTTTACATTTTTGGTGCCAACTAACTGGCATGGTATTATTGGTATGGAAATTAGCCAAGAAAGAAAAGAATTGGCTATAACTTGTAATTTTTCGAAAAAAACATATTATACCTATATCGCTGAAAAGCTTAAAAAATGACGCTTTTTATGAAGTCATGGCCAACTATGGTTTCCATTTAAAAAAAACATAATGTTTGTGTCATATGTCAAAAATGACATGCTTTAGGAAAAAAAAACAGAAAACACAAACTCATTAGGTATGTGATTATCTACAACTTTTATCTGAAACTTTTTGTCTAAAATACCGTATGATCGAATAAAAATGGCGTGAGCGATGGCTATGAAATGACAATCGATGATATTTCCCATATAATTTTACATATAAAATGACAGCGATCTTCATTTCATAGCCATCGTTGACGCCGTTTTTATTCGATCATACGGTAGATTATAATGGAATTAGAGACAAGTTTTAAAATAGCCAAAATTTGTTTTTCTCGAAATATCTAGTAAGCCTTGAACTTCTCCGAAAAATCCGAAAGGCGCATATTTATGATCCCACAAAACTGCAATTATTCTTTCCCCATTTAACCGACTCTCTATCTCCAGTAGTTTCCGAGATACCCATAGAGAACATCGATCGTAGGAAACTCTGTATAGTATTTAGAAACTAATAGAAACTAACTGTATTATTATTTGACTAGATTAATTTGATTAATAAGACTCGATTAATTTAATTTAAAATAAATTTGATCAGATTTTTTTTTCGTATATTCTACTACCAGAAAACCAAAATTATATTATGATAACGCACTTTTCAACGAAGTTGAAGGAATATATAGTGTATCTATCACAATACTTAATAGAATTATTACAATTAGAAGAAAAACAAAAAGAAAAAATACCCAAATACCTCATCTACAAAATAAACTAATATAATATCTGATAAAAACACTACACAACTACTTCTTGTATTCTATCCTGAAAAAATTATCAAACTTACTAATTAATCAAACAAAAAGAAAAAATAACCAAATTATACCTTCACCTACTACTTAACTACAAAATAATAAACTATAAACACACTACTAAACTATTTCTGGTATTCTACACTAAACATTATAATTAAACTTAATAAAATTAATCTAATTTTACACTACAACCACTACAACTACAAAGAAATAAGAACGAAAAAGAAAGAAATTTTTTAAAACTAGAAGAAACAGAACTTCGATACGTGCGACCAGTATAATAAATCAAGCGGACAAAGAATAGAAAATACTTTAAAAATGTGCATTCCAGAAAGAAAAATATCTCGAAAATTACCTAAACAAACATTTTTTTTTATCAGTGAAAAGCATCAGCCTCGTCGGCCTTGCGGAATTTGTCGGGTATTTACAATGGTCTAATTGTATAATTACCAGCTTTTATAGCATATCTAATAGACAAAAAGTATCTGGTCGATTAGTAACCAATTAGCACAGTCCGAAAATTATCGATTTTTATTTTCTCTGTTTTTATTGGTCGCTTCAAAATTCAGAGTAACAAAAAATATTTTTCTGTAGTAAAAGACTGTGAAATACGCCCCGCCATCTGGTACTTTACATCCATAAACGTCTTAGGTTGAGCTACTTTAAAAATTCATATACAAGGGTAAAAGATATATTAAAGAACCAGTTTTCGTAAAATTCTCGTTTTCCCGACGGTGCTAGCTCTTGTACTATTATCTTTTTATTAAGGTTAGATTGAATTTGTCAAAAAAGTGTCACAACGTCCGTTATCGTACGATCTATTTCTGTTGATGGGCTGGAGTAAAAAATTTACGGATGAAAAGTGGCGCGAAAACTCTATGACCAATTAGAGCGCCATCAGACCATCGAATCAACGGATAACGGACCCATGAAAATCAATCTTAACACTGATGACATACATCACAAGCACATAAAAGAGGTAGCCTATGCTCTGTGTAGAGTACGACACTGTAAGAAGAAGAATAAACTTATTAACTTAATCATTAAAATTGTCCTCCGCCTATACTGACTGAACAATCTTTTCCCGCATCAGCAGGCTTATATACGTATTTCTTTCTACTCAACGTATCTTCTTTGTCTCATTCTGGGCACACCGGTTCCCGCCAGCCTCACACTACAGTGCCCTAAATAAATAATTCGATTTAACAGTCGGCTAGGTCCCTAAAACACACCTCTCGAGCCCTTCCTTCATAAGACTACTCCAAAATGGTTCTTGAGCGCCGTGAAAATAAGGCCTAAGAAGAATGGTAATGGCTGATAAATAGGCGTTGCTAAGTGTCAAGGCAGTTGAAGCTGAGAGAATGAAAGATTAAGGCATTTCCGTCTTATTAAAATAGGTAATTTTGTCTTTCGTGTGAGTTATTATACTTTTGTTAATGTTAGGTGGTAACTGTATCTTTGTGAAGAAATCTCAACAAAATTTACAAAAAGAAAAATGATGAAATGAACAAATATGAATGAAATGAAAAATGAACGAATATTTTCAAATAGAACTCAAATGTCAAAATGACAGCAAGTTCACACCTTTCTCAAGCTGTAGCCAATAGCATCAAACCGTTGCTGTTGTGTTGAAGCGGTGACACCTTTACTTCGAGGGCTTAAAACTGAAAAAGGGCACCAAAGCAAGGGAAGTTTGTTTACAAAGGAATTAAGCGGATTTACACAACTGGGAGGGATTCTTCACACCTTTCATACAGTAAAGAGAGACGACGTTTGTACACGGTGAATCATAAACAGATAGATTGTGTAAGGACAAGTCTACGAAGGTTTTTATGATGTTTGATCATTAACAGATGATGAAAAAGACTGCTATTTTAAAGTAATTTGTATCTCTATCATATTTTTTGTTTTTAGTTTTGAAATTCTTTAAAGTGTATTTACTTATTTCTTTAGAGGCTAGTAGCCATCTATATTCAGGCAGTTATTAGCGATTTCGCTATTTAATTGAGGACATGGCTGGTATAATAGCGATAGAAAAGAATGTCAATTACGATTTCCAACTCCTTAACTGGTCGCAATGGCGG